AAGAGAGGGTGTGAGCTGGGTGTGAGCCGCAGGTTTTCCTCTGCGGGCAAGCTCTGGTCCCTGCCAGCGGCACAGCTTCACCACTTAGAGTCGAGGTGCAGAATTACAGCTGAAATACAATATGGAAAATACTTCACGTGGGGAGAGAAATCCGTGCACCGGTAACTGCAGGTGTTGCTTTCTTTCATTCTTCCTTACTGGCCAGCTTCACGTGACAAATGGGCCAAGAGGTGTGAGTTTGCTCCCAAATTTGAGGCTGTGGAATGCTATTATTTAAAAAAAAAAAAAAAAAGCAGCAGATTTTCAGCACGAACTAATTGAAATATCTAAATTCTGGGTTGCAGTAATTAATACGCAGCTCATATGCATAACTTTGTGTTGGTGTCTGCAAATACTCTGACATGATATTCTGGAAGCAAACAAGTAAAAATAATTGTTTTCAGTTGTTTGCAAAATGCTTCAAGAGCCACAGCTTAAAGGTGAGAAGAAATGGAACAGAGACAGAATCTGAAATGGAAAAAACAAGAAGAGAGCAAGATAGCACAGGTAATATTTCAATTTTGTTGTTGCAGTATTAGCTGTTAGAAAATATTTTCTGTTCTGCATGATGTCTGAGGAATGTGCGTAGTGTTTGTGTGCAGTATTCTGCAAATCAGAGGCCAAAAAAGTTAAATGTTAAGGAAATCTACTGTTAATTATTTTTTTAAAAAAGGTTTTTTGGTTTTATAGGTACTTTGGTGTTCTTCTGTTCCTTTAGATCAGAAATGAAAGGCAACTCTTTTTCTTCCCTGTAGCGTAAGGAGGGAGTTTTGATTTCACCTTTGATTTCTCCAGTTGTCTACCAAACTGCAGATGTGTTTTAGAAATCACAGTAAAAATAAAAAAGCTTCTCACTTATCGTGAGTTTAACCAAACCGCTCTGCAAATCTGCAAATGCCTGTACATAACTTCTGTTTGTATCTTGAGGATTGTGGTTAATACCAAGCAGGAAGGGATGTTCCATTTTAGATCTTCTGCCAAGATGCCCCTTTCACTCCTTTGCTCCAAGTACCATCCGCGTGTCTGCTGACTTCATCAGCAAAACCCAAGTCCATAAAGATCAACTTTTAGAAAAGGAAAAACTCTCTCAGAAGGTTCTTCTTCTTCTGCGAGCCCACTGGGAATTAGATTTACTCTATATTTATTCCTTCTGGCTCTCACTCTCAAAGATTGTTAACTAGGGCGTAATTTTTGGTTTTCAATATATTGGTTTTTTTACGGACAGCGACTCACTGTAATTGCCTCTTAAACCTTGTGTTTTTGTTAATGCAGAGATGCTGATAGAGCCACGTTACCTGCAGGAATCAGCTCCTTCCAAGACTGAGAGAAGACTTATAGACGATTCGTTTATGCTGACACCAGAGAATGCCAGAAACGAAACTGCCGATAACTGTGGTGAAAATATGGTGAGCAGTTTCTATCCATTTTAGAGACTTAAATGTGTTTATTGGTTTCATTTTGTGCCAGGGTGCCGCCTAGAACACGTTAAGAAATTACTAATATATGAAAAGGGTGCTAGAGACAGCCGATACAGCGTTAAGTAGCTTATGTCATGTAAGTTTATTTATAGGATCTTGGGCAGACTCTTGCAGTGAATGAAGGGTTAATTAAGATGTCGATTAATCAGTATAGATTACAGCCTAATCACTAAGTGCAGATGAAACCTTAATATGAAACCTAACCTCTTGCTACTGAAGAGGTAAATATAATCATCTTTATAAAGGCTAAAACCTCTCCTTTGTGTCTCACGTTGAGGAAATGCTTAAGCAATAACCAATTATCTATTGCTGCTCATTTTATTTAGGCTCGGCATCCTTTAGAGAACGTGAGGCTCATTAAAGTTGAAAAAGGATGGCAAAATCGGACCTAACGGCAGCAAAAAATGTGGGGTCTGTGCCTGAACCGAGCCCGCTGTGGGATAAACGCTGCAGCAAGGGCTTTCCCCGCATGAGGAAAGACATGGTAGAAACAGCAACTAGTAACTCATTTGGGGAAACGTTTGTGATCATAAATTCTTACGTAATCGGGGATTACGTGGTGTGTGTGTGACCTGTAATGGCTATTGATTGTCCTCCCTGTTCTAACAGCCGGATGGACCGGTGCTCTCGGAGAGCTCCTCGCTGCCGAGCCGGTCCCTGGGCCAAGAAGCGGAAGCACCACAAGCACCGCAAGCAGAGTTAACGAACGTACGTGTGACAGCTCCAACCGATTTCTGAAGGGAAAGCCCAAAATCTAAAGCCAAATTTTTGACCATCTGCTTTTTTGGCTTCTGACCAGTACGAATCCCAGTTGTGCGGAACAGAGTTACTGTGTGAAGCTGCCTCCCCAGGCTCGCTGGGGTCTCTGCCGTAAGCATCCGGCGGGTTGTTGCACCTAACCTGTGTCTCTGTAGCTGAGAGACCCTCGTTACCGTTCTGTTCCGCTTCCCAAAGCTCACAGAGAGGTCAGAGCTCCCGGGTATCCCCTGTAGGAGCATCCAAACCCCCGGCTCCCGGGCGTTCCCCGTTAGGCTGCAATTTTTTGTCCTTTTTACCTTCAGGGCATGTGACTTTTGACATGTGCTGTCTAACCTTGCCTTCTTTTTCCTCCCAAGGAGCTGAAGAGGAGCAAGAAGGACAGGGAAGAACTAAAGTGGACCAAAAGAACTCTTCAGTTATTAAAAACTTTACAGGTACAGGATTTTGTAGTTAGATGCTAAAACCAGGGGTTGATTTCAGTCGGAGAGAGTCCAGTAACCTCATCGACCGCATTGCTGCCTCTCATGCTGCGTTTTATTGGATATTAAAGTAAGGAACCAGGATTCTGTGGTGTCCTCTCCCACAGCTGCTGGAATCACTAGAATTTTCAGAATATTTTCTTCCGCAGCAGCATCTGCTCTAACACCAGGCCCTTGTTCCCTTCCTCCGACAAGCGTGCTCTGGAGTATTGCTGCAAAAACCCAACTCAGAGCTGCCTACGGGTTGCCAGACCTCAGCCGAGAGCAGCAGGGTGCCGTCGGCTGGCTCCGTTGGCTTGAGCTGGCTCCGAGATGAAGGCGAGGGAAATGAGGGAGGCTTATGTTCAAAAGAAAGCTGGTAACACCTTCTTTAAGAGGTTTTAATGCCTCAGCGCTTTCAAGGTGCTTTAAATTTAGCAGAGTGCAGCCTTTGCATCAGGAGGGCTTATTCTGCTTTTCTTGCTGAAATCCTTGTAAAACCGGTGAAGCTGTCACGCGTGATCTCATCGGACCTCGTCGGCAGGAGCCAGCACAGGCTGCCCCGACGCTTCGTGTCCAAACCCTTGGCCTCACGGCTCCGTGCTCTTCCTTCCTTTTTGCCTGGCCAAGCGCTTCAGTGCTTCAGCGTCCATCTGGTTGAGGGGTGGCCAGGAAAAAAAAACCAGCCCAAACCATTATTTTTCCTTCGGGTCAGTTCTCTGAGCTGACGTGCCACATGGCCAGACAGAGACTGGAGGATGGTGAAGGAGAAACGCAAGCGTGGGCAGGGGGACATGGAGGGCAAACCACACTACGCTTGCGTCCGAGCCCAGCTCTTCCCCGGTGCTGGAGTTCGACTTCACGCCTTCTTAGGTTTTTTAAAAAAAATTATTTTACATGAATGTATTTTGAAGGTTCTCTGCATCACCCACCAGTAAATATGTACGTAGAAGTGTAGCCATTAAAAACCGAGACTCTGGTTCTCTGGCCCCAAAGAACAGGGCATACAGTGGTTTTTATTGGTTTGAATCAATGAGACCGCGGTGGATGCGCTTCACCACTTGCCTCGGTGCCATTTCGTTGAATTCGGCGGCACCGTGGGCACGTACAGACGTTAGTAACGTACGTAGGTGTGAGCAGTATTATGGCAATCAAATATTAAAAGCCACTTCTAGAAAAGCAAATGCCAAGATCCCATTCGAGGTGTTCAGGCGGAAAACCCACCCTCCACTCAGCGCCCTTCAGTTCGGACTCAAGGGGATCGGTTTTCCCCGACTGATTTTCTCGTTTCCCTCCTGCAGCACCTGAGGAGATCGGGCGGGCATTCTTTCAGTTTTCAGGAGCTGTGTTGGAAAAACAGCCGGAAAGAAGCCGCATCCAAGTTCTACATCATTCTCGTTCTGAAGAAGCGGTCAGTTATCGAGCTCAGCCAGAGCGCTCCCTTCGCTGACATCACAGCCACCGTCGGCCCAGCGTTCGACGCTCACTGAAATCACGTAGTGTTCGGAGAAGGTGATAAAACCAAAACCTTACTCTCGGTTTTGCAGCAAATAGATTTCCTGGGAAAGCGATTGAAAGTCTGGTCAAACCCTGGTGACAAAGGAGAGCTCCCTTTGCTTTACGTCACCGCTCCGAACCACTGAGGGCCTGGCTCGTGCAGGTGAGCTGCCTCCGTACCTGTCACCGAGGGCTTCACTAGTATGTTTATTTTTATTTTCTGTGTTTGTATGATGAGCAGTTACTTATTCTGTTAATAAAATTTCGCTAAAATATATATTTTATGTAAGAGATTTACGTTAAGTGCCTTAAAAACCTTTCTTGGAGACCGGCTCTGGAGGTTAAATTATTTCTAACGGGGCTCGTATGCCTTAGTGATCTAACGCCATCAGTAAGAGAAGTCTGTTAAGCTCTTTATCAACAAATGTCATCTATTCAAAATTATTCCTTTCAAAGAATGTTCAGTATTTGATATTTTAAGGTCTAGCAAGCTGCTGTCTCCAGCATGGGTTTCGTGTGTTCAGGCACAGAGAAGCTGCGCTGTCCCTGGGAGAGTCACGTCAGCTTCGGGGTGAAATCCTGCAATTTTAGCTTTCATGGCGCACGTTTACTTAAAGACTAGCACTTCTATTTATGTGTAGACCTATTTAAAAACGGATGTTAAACTGAAATATTGTCAGTTCTTTGCATTTTTATCTCATTTAGGATACGTTTCAACACTTCTACTGTCATTTTGTAAAGTTGGTGGGTTTTGATTGTGTCACGCCTGGCACGCGAGGGATGCAGGGGTTCATTTGGGGCTCCGGACCAGCGCAGCCCTGCGGCGCGCTCACCTGGCGTTGTGTGAAAGCAATAAAAACTACAAGAAGGTGTTTCCTGAGCTCTGGTGTTTGTTCTGAAGGATCCAAACCAGCAGCCTCCTAAGCCATCCTTTGGGTTCACCTTCTGAGAGTCGCTGGGTTTGGTGCTTTTTCTTCAAATTTGAAAGGATGGAGTCACCACCCCTGGAGGTATTTAAAAAATGTGTAGATGAGGTCTTCTTCAGGACGTGACTTATTAGTCATGGTAGTATTGGGTTGATGGCTGGACTAGATGATCTTGGAGATCTTTTCCAGCCTTAGTGATTCTGTGATTCTGCAACACTGTCATCGTGGCTCTCCTCGGTGGCAGTCCGCGTGTCGGGTCCTGCCTGCAGGGTCGTTTCAGTTGGTTTCCTTTTTTCCCACATAGAGATATTTGATAAACTAAGCACTAAGACGCCTTTGCCACGGTTCTCCCAAGGGGTTACTTTTCTGGGTGGAAGGAAAAGTGACTCCGTTGGGTAAAACCCTTTCCATTTTCTGCAAAAGGAACCATATTTTCCTTTTCTCTCTTTCCCCACGCGTAGCCCAGGCCAAGCCACATCCGAGAGCGGCTCCTTTCCTGCTTCTCTTTGGGGCCAGGCCTGGTGGGTTTGGTCAGGACTTGAGTACCACCACAGGGTGAGGAAGGGGTTCAGTTCTCTAAATCTCCCGCTCAGCATCTTGGCAGCAAGGAGTGAAACCTCTCCCCTATTCCCCCACAGCAGCCCCAATCCCACCTCCTGGCAAGTCCCCTGTTCCTGCAGCCTGGGAAACCGGGCACTGCTGGCTGGCAAGGGAAGGGAAAACCATTTTTCTCCCCCCAAAACCATGGGAAATGACTCTGCATCTCACACCGGAGCCGCTGCCTGCGCCACGGCTGCTGCTGCCACGTGCTACGAGCAGCTCCAGCAGCAGCAGATGCGATAACTCATTAATTTTCCTTTCAAGGAGAGAGACTGTGCCTTGGATTCTCCAGGAAAGAGGGAAACAAAAGGAGGCTGGAGGCGGGCAGGAGGCAGGCAGGAATACATGAGAGACAGGAAATACCTACATTGAAAATAGTCAGTGGATCGGAATAAATGAGGGACAAATCTTGCAGGAAATAATCCTGGAAGACTATTTACAAAAAACAGGTTTGTCAGAACTCTGAAATAACCGCGGGGTTGCTGTGAAGGGAACTGGTGAGGGCCAGGGAGGCACAAGGCGTTGGGGAGC